TGAAAGACACAGGGACATTGAGGAGCATGGGGACATTGAGGGACACAGGGACATGGAGGGGCATAGGGACATGGAGGGACACAGGGCATTGAGGAGCATAAGGGTTATCAGGAACATGGAGACACTGAGGGACATTGAAACACTGAGGGACATTATAGGAACATTAAGGGACAGAAAGACATTAAGGGCACAGGGACATTGAGTGGCATGGGTACATTGAGGGACACATATACATTAGGGGACATGGGGACATTGAGGAACAGATGGACACTGAAGGAAACTGAGACATTTAGGGAAATGGGGAGGCCGAGGGACACACAGACATTGAGGGACATTGGAACATTGAGAGATACAGAGACATTGAGGGACATGAAGACACTGAGGAACATGGGGACACTGAGGAACATGGAAACATTAAGGAACACGGGGACACTGAAGGACACAGAGACACTGTCTGAGGGACACAAAGATATTGAGGGACACAGGAACATTGAGGAACATGGAGACACTAAGGAACATGGGGACACTGAAGGACACAAAGACACTGTCTGAGGGACACAAAGATATTGAGGGACATAGGAACATTGAGGGACATGGAGACACTAAGGAACATGGGGACACTGAAGGACACAAAGACACTGTCTGAGGGACACAGAGATATTGAGGGACACAGGAACATTGAGGAACATGGAGACACTAAGGAGCACGGGGGCACTGAAGGACACAGAGACTGTCTGAGGGACACAGAGATATTGAGGGACACTAAGGGAAACTGAGACGTTTAGGGACAAGGGGATGCTGAGGGACATGGAGACACTGATGAACATTGGGACATTGAGGGATACTGAGACATTGAGTGCCATGAGGACATTGGGGGACACGGGGACACAGAGAAATGTAGACAAACCTAGGTAACGCCCACATGTGATGAGGAACCTCAATGAATGAAAGAACTGACAGCCAAATAATAAGCAGAGTAGCTAGTGGTCAGCACTTCTGCCCTGCAGCATTGGATGCCTTAGGTTAAATCCCAGCCAGCATGCCGTCTGCATGGAGTTTGCATGTTCACCCTGTACTTCATGCTGGTGGGTAAATTGGCCTTCGTATGTGTCGATGTGGATAGGTACATCAGAATGTAAGCTCCTTGAGGACAGGGAATGACTTCATTGTACGGTATGTAAAACTGCGTGAATAGTCGGCGCTGATTGGGGCTGCCCGTCAACGCGCAAAAAAAAAAAAAATGGCACTTGCGCTCAGACGCACCTCCTCCTGCTGTGAATGAGCCCTCAGTGTCCGCTCTCGGGATTCTGTGGAAATTCGTGTCCCTGCCTCCCACAGCTGAACGTCAACTATATAAACAGGTTCACCTTCTGAAAACATACAAATCCCTCACAGCGGGGTCATTAATGAGCGCTGAGCGGACGCGGCTCTGCGCCAGGTGGGAGTATTTGTGACAAACTGACAGCTTGGGACGCCGCGGGCGGTATCGCTGTCACCGGGCAGAGCCAGGACTTGGCGACCCGGTAAGACCTTTTATTCATAACAAGGACTCTCGTTATACAAATCAGATTCAAGGTTCCATTTTGTTCTTTTCTGTGGTCGGCGAGATTCACTTTGTACTTCGCCGGTAATGTCTGCCGGGGGCTCATTCTCACCGCAATCGCACAGAATGCCGCGGCGTGCTTCTAGAAACGCTCTGCGTTGGTTTCATGTGTTGCAAGGCATTTTTTTCTCCTTTTCATTTATGCGCGTTGCATGGAATAAAAATGCAGCCGGCGGCACTTTGTCTTCAGTACGATGGTGGGAATTCTGGGAACACCCTGAAGAGAGGTGAAAAAATTCGGGAACCAGAAGAACCAGGGGAGATTGTACTGCTGTCAGTGGGGAACCTGGGGGGCTCCAGAACTGCCCGCTGCTTGCTCTCCTCATTACCGCTATGGGGGGATCCCTGCAAAGCCGCGGGTCATGATGCTGCCCCAGGCTCCTCCTCTCCTGACCGGTCACATGACACATTGTAGAGGGAAGCTCTCCCAGGCTCCTCCTCTCCTGACCGGTCACATGACACAATGTAGAGGGAAGCTCTTCCAGGCTCCTCCTCTCCTGACCAGTCAGGTGACACAATGTAGGGGGAAGCTCTCTTTGGCTCCTCCTCTCCTCTGACCGGTCACATGACACAATGTAGAGGGAAGCTCTCCCAGGCTCCTCCTCTCCTGACCGGTCACATGACACAATGTAGAGGGAAGCTCTCCCAGGCTCCTCCTCTCCTGACCGGTCACGTGACACAATGTAGAGGGAAGCTCTCCCTGGCTCCTCCTCTCCTGACCGGTCACTTGACACAATGTAGAGGGAAGCTCTTCCAGGCTCCTCCTCTCCTCTGACCGGTCACATGACACAAAGCAGAGGGAAGCTCTCCCAGGCTCCTCCTCTCCTCTGACCGGTCACATGACACAATGTAGAGGGAAGCTCTCCCAGGCTCCTCCTCTCCTCTGACCGGTCACATGACACAAGGTAGAGGGAAGCTCTTCCAGGCTCCTCCTCTCCTGACCGGTCACGTGACACAATGGAAAGGGAAGCTCTTCCAGGCTCCTCCTCTCCTGACCGGTCACGTGACACAATGTAGAGGGAAGCTCTCCCAGGCTCCTCCTCTCCTCACCAGTCACGTGACACAATGTAGAGGGAAGCTCTCCCAGGCTCCTCCTCACCTCTGGGGGGGGGGGTTATTATTAAGAAGGGGGAGATTTTAAATGAGGGGGAGATTTTTGTTGGAGGAGAAAGAGAGAAAGGATTTGTACTGAGGGGGAGGGAGGAGAAACGTTTTTTGTTGTGGGAATGGGGGCAATATTTGGTTTTGGGAGGGGGGGATTTTTTCTGTGGGGGGGAGATTTTTTCCATGGGGGGGATTTTTTCTGTGGGGGGGAACTTTTTCTGTGGGGGGCTGGAGGTTTTTGCTTTGTATGTGTCTGGATTGGCACTGGGGGAGTTCCACGGATATTCTCCCGATCGCCCGCATATTGGAACAAGTTTTGGTTGCCTGTATACGGAACACATTTGCCCATCTGTAGCCCACGCAGGCCGGCGGCCATCTTTTACCTGCGTCTGTCAAATCAATGTCGCTCCGAGGACCGTATTCGTATACTTTAGTCCCACAAGGATCCCGACATTTACACCGTTCGGTTTTTTGTTTGTTATTTTATGAAAAAAATAAAACAAAAAAAAATAAAATCTCCACCGAAAATCACCTTGTTGTACATTCTTACCCGCTCCTGTCCTGTAGATGCCGAGTCAGCGAACAACGTGCCTGCGCCCGCCTCCTGTAATCACGAGTGTTTGAAAGAAGGCTTAGTTTGTCCCCTGCACCCCCCCCCCCCCCCGTATTCTAAAGAGTACAGTTGCCATGGCTGCAGGAAAGCTGCACTTTTTAAAAAATTTGCACAAATTTTTGAAGGATAATCGCAGCCGCCTCAGCGTCAGCGCGGGGAACGTCATCGCCTGTCGGTTTTATTTGATTCATAAAGTGAAGTCGGGGGGGGGTGGGGGGGTGGGTGGGGGGGATGGGATAAGGCAATGTATGATAACACAGAAAACTGCGACAAATACGAATCATAAAACAAAAGTTTCAAATAAAATCCAAAAACAGTTCCTATCCGCCAGATGATTCTTCAATTCCTTCAAAATAAATCACCGCGTGTAGAAAGAAACCAGTGCCCCCCCTTTCGGGTATACCCCCCCCCCCCAACTCTCATGGTTGGCAAAAAAGCGCTCAATGGATATCTCTCGGTGGGATGAAGAATCAATAAATATCGATCTGCTGCCTCTCCTCCGATCTCCGAAGATATTTATTGATTCTTCATCCCACCGAGAGATATCCATTGAGCGCTTTTTTGCCAACCATGAGAGTTGGGGGGGGGCAACACCATTTGGTGGGTGTATACCCGAAAGGGGGGGATACTCAGGGGACGAGTTCAGGGTGGAGGAGCCCCCCGCTCTCTAGCAGCCGCCTCCGGAGATCCTGGGGGAGATGGGACACAGGCACCCCTCCAGGAGTGATCCTGACACCATTTGGAGGAGCCCCCTGCTGGACAGGTAAGAGCTTGGAGGACTGGTGCTTCCCCACTCCTGCCTCACTGTCCCCCCCGACACACTGCCCCCCACCTGTCCTACTTCCCTCCCCCGTACCATTGCCCCCCCTCTGTCACGCTGCCCCCCCACCTGTCCTACTTCCCTCCCCCGTACCATTACCCCCCCCCCACCTGTCACCCTGCCCCACACCTTTTCCACTTCCCCCATCTGTCCCTCTGGGCTCCTCCTGTCCCTCTGCCTCCCCCCCCATCATGCTGCCCTCCCCCTGTCATGCTACCCCCCTACCTGTCCCGATGGCCTACTCCTGTCCTGATATACCCCCTCACACTGCCCCCCTCCTGTCCTGCAACCCCCCCCCCCATGTCACACTGCCCTCCATCACGCTCCTGTCCTGAAGAGGTGGATCTTAAACAGCAAGGGGAGCAACAAGTTTAGATGGGGGGCGCCCCGATTTTAGTCTTGCCCGGGGGCAGCACAAAACCAAAACCTGGGGGGGGGGGGAGCGGGGCTTCTTTGGTTTCTTTTTTCATCTGGTGGATAAGAAGTGTTTTTGGACGTTTTCGCCGGTACACCTGTGCAAGACTGAAGGGGAGGAGCCAGTACACCTGTGCAAGACTGAAGGGGAGGAGCCGGTACACCTGTGCAAGACTGAAGGGGAGGAGCCGGTACACCTGTGCAAGACTGAAGGGGAGGAGCCGGTACACCTGTGCAAGACTGAAGGGGAGGAGCCGGTACACCTGTGCAAGACTGAAGGGGAGGAGCCGGTACACCTGTGCAAGACTGAAGGGGAGGAGCCGGTACACCTGTGCAAGACTGAAGGGGAGGAGCCGGTACACCTGTGCAAGACTGAAGGGGAGGAGCAGGTACACCTGTGCAAGACTGAAGGGGAGGAGCCGGTACACCTGTGCAAGACTGAAGGGGAGGAGCCGGTACACCTGTGCAAGACTGAAGGGGAGGAGCCGGTACACCTGTGCAAGACTGAAGGGGAGGAGCCGATACACCTGTGCAAGACTGAAGGGGAGGAGCCGGTAAACCTGTGCAAGACTGAAGGGGAGGAGCCGGTACACCTGTGCAAGACTGAAGGGGAGGAGCCGGTACACCTGTGCAAGACTGAAGGGGAGGAGCCGGTAAACCTGTGCAAGACTGAAGGGGAGGAGCCGGTACACCTGTGCAAGACTGAAGGGGAGGAGTCGGTACACCTGTGCAAGACTGAAGGGGAGGAGCCGGTACACCTGTGCAAGACTGAAGGGGAGGAGCCGATACACCTGTGCAAGACTGAAGGGGAGGAGCCGGTACACTTGTGCAAGACTGAAGGGGAGGAGCCGGTACACCTGAATGGGAGGTTAGGGGGCCAGATTGAAGTCACTCCCAGGAAGAGGCGGGTCCTTTGTTTGATGTCAGATATTGTGGTACATCAGTCAGGAGTGGAGTGACGTATTTCTGGTCATGTGATGCTTTGTAGTTGGAGCAGAATAAACAGAAACTTCTGGTTCCGGGAGGATCAGAAATACGCCGAGAAATACACGGAGCGCTGGAGACCGAGCAGAGGATGCCGGGAGCCGGGTGCCGGGTACCCTCCTGTGTTGTTGTCAGGCAGAAGTCCAGGGGCACAGCTACAGACGGAACATGGACACAGAAACATCAACTGACTGCTACTACTACCACTACTACTACTACTACTACCTACTACTACTACCGCTACTACTACTACTACTACTACCACTACTACTACCACTACTACTACTACTACTACTACTAACCGCTACTACTACCCTACTACTACCCTACCACCTACTACCACTACCCTAACTACTACCACCCTACTACTACCGCTAACTACTACTACTACTACTACTACTACCCTAACCACTACTACCCTACCCCTACTACTACTACTACCCTACTACTACCCTACCCTAACTACTAACCCACTACTACTACCCTACTACTACTACTACTACTACCCTACCCTACTACCCTACTACTACTACTACTACTACTACTACTACCCTACTACTACTACTACTACCCTACTACTAACCCTACTACCCTAACTAACTACTACTAACTACTAAACCCTACCCTACTACCGCTACTACTACTACTACTACTACTACCACTACTACTACTACTACCACTACCTACTACTACTACTACTACCCTACTACTACCCTACTACTACTACCCTACTACTACCCCTACTACTACCCTACTACTACCCTACCCTACTACTACTACCGCTACTACTACCACTACTACTACCACTACTACTACCCTACTACTACTACTACACTACTACTACTACTACTACTACTACTACCCTACTACTACTACTACTACTACTACTACTACTACTACCCCTACTACTACTACTACTACTACCACTACTACTACCCCTAACTACTAACTACTACTACTACTACTACCCTACTACTACTACTACTACTACTACTACCCTACTACTACTACCCTACTACTACTACTACTACTACCACTACCCTACTACCGCTACTACTACTACTACCACTACTACCGCTACTACTACTACTACTACTACTACTACTACTAATACTACCACCACTACTACTACTACTACCACTACTACCTACTACTACTACTACTACTACCACTACTACCGCTACTACTACTACTACCACTACTACCGCTACTACTACTACTACTACTACTAACTACTAATACTACCACCACTACTACTACTACTACTACTACTACTGCTTTTTTTACTACTGCTATTACTGCTACTACTACTACCCAATATTACTACTACTACTACTACCACCGCTATTACTACTACTACCACTACTACTACTAATAGTAATAATAAAAAAACAGATACTATTGCTAATAATACTACTACAATAATAATAATTAATAATAAATACTACTTACTACTACCACTATTACTAATACTGCTGCTAATAATAATATTAATCATAATCATCAATAATAATAATACTACTACTAGTACTAATAATAATACAATACTCACTGCTTCCATATTTGCTGCTAATAATAATAATAATGATGATGATTCTACGGTTCTCTCAGCTGTACATTACAATGGGGGACAATACACGAGACAGTACAGTAACAATACAATGTGACACACGAGGGTTCGAGGGCCCTGATCCTGGGAGCTTACAATCTAGGAGGGAGGGGCTGATCCTGGGAGCTTACAATCTAAGAGGGAGGGGCTGATCCTGGGAACTTACAATCTAAGAGGGAGGGGCTAATCCTTGGAGCTTACAATCTATGATGATAATAAATACTCCTCACTACTACTACTGCTAATGTGAATAATAATACAACTTCTGCTGCTGATAATAATATAAAGCTCAGTGATTTGTCTTCCGGGTGACGTCGAGGATGGGGAGTATCTGGGCTCTGATCGTTTCCCCTCCTCCGGTTGGTTGGAAGGAATTGGTTGTTTTGTATCTTCTCACTTACAACACTCAGATGTACAATGACAGGCCGATCTTTGTGTATTATTCGATGACTATCACAGTACAATAGTAGTACCTCTGACCCCGGTTGGGGGATGGGTTATTGGTGATGGGATGTTTTGGAGGGGGGGGGGGTCTCAGTATCACACCAATCTATGAATGAACATGGCGCTCTCACACAAGGAGACGATCTCCTATATTCGGCGGTGTTTACGTTCGATGATGATAATTGCAGCTCGCAGTAATAATTTGTTGAGTGTTTTTGGCAATCAGCGGCTGAGCTGAACGGAGGACAATATTTACTACAAAGAGCTGCGGAGCCAGACCTTAAATATATACAAATGGCGTGTAAAGAGGCACTCCGACTACAACACTCAGCTTCTATGACTTTACAGCTGACAGAAGGAAGGCTCATTGATGGAGGTGGGGAGGGAAAACTCATTCGTGGAGGGGGGGGGGGTCAATGAAGGAGGTGGAGAGGGAAGGCTTATTGAGGGAGGTGGGGAGGGAAGGATCATTGATGGAGGTAGGGAAGGGCTCATTGATGGAGATGGGAGAGAGGGATTATTGATGGAGGTGGGGAGTGAAGTCTCATTGATGGAAGTGGGGAGGGAAGGCTCATTGATGGAGATGGGGAAGGAAGGCTCATTGATGGAGATGGGGAAGGAAGGCTCATTGATGGAAGTGGGGAGGGAAGGCTCATTGATGGAGATGGGAAAGGAAGGTTCATTGATGGAGGTGGGGAGGGAAAGCTCATTGATGGAGGTGGAAAGGGAAGGCTGATGGAGGTAGGGAGGAAAGGCTCGGTGATGGAGGTGAAGAGGGAAGGCTCATTGATGGAGGTGGGGAGGGAAGGCTCATTGATGGAGATGAGGAGGGAAGGCTCATTGATGGAGATGGGGAGGGAAGGCTCATTGATGGAGGAGGGGAGGGAAGGCTCATTGATGGAGATGGGGAGGGAAGGCTCATTGATGGAAGTGGGGAGGGAAGGCTCATTGATGGAGATGGGGAGGAAAGGCTCATTGATGGAAGTGGGGAGGGAAGGCTCATTGATGGAGGTGGGGAGGCAAGGCTCATTGATAGAGATGGGGAAGGAAGGTTCATTGATGGAGGTGGGGAGGGAAAGCTCATTGATGGAGGTGGGGGGGCCCTCATTGATGGAGGTGGAAAGGGAAGGCTGATGGAGGTAGGGAGGAAAGGCTCAGTTATGGAGGTGAAGAGGGAAGGCTCATTGATGGAGGTGGGGAGGGAAGGCTCATTGATGGAGATGAGGAGGGAAGGCTCATTGATGGAGATGGGGAGGGAAGGCTCATTGATGGAGGAGGGGAGGGAAGGCTCATTGATGGAGATGGGGAGGGAAGGCTCATTGATGGAAGTGGGGAGGGAAGGCTCATTGATGGAGATGGGGAGGGAAAGCTCATTGATGGAAGTGGGGAGGGAAGGCTCATTGATGGAGGTGGGTAGGGATGACTCATTGATGGAGGTGGGTAGGAAAGACTCATTGATGGAGGTGGGATGGAAGTTTCATTGATGGAGGTGGTGGGGAAGGCTCAGTGATGGAGGTGTGGAGGAAAGGCTCATTGATGGAGGTAGGGGGAGGGAGGCTCATTAATGGAGGTGGGGGGGAAGGCTCATTGATGGAGGTGGGGGGAAGGCTCATTGATGGAGATGGGGAAGGAAGGTTCATTGATGGAGGTGGGGAGGGAAGGCTCATTGATGGAGGTGGGGGAGGAGGATTATTGATGGAGGTGGAGAGGGAAGGCTCATTAATGCAGGTGGGGGGCCCTCATTGATGGAGGTGGAAAGGGAAGGCTGATGGAGGTAGGGAGGAAAGGCTCAATGATGGAGGTGGAGAGGGAAGGCTCATTGATGGAGGTGGGGAGGGAAGGCTCATTGATGGAGGTGGGGAGGGAAGGCTCATTGATGGAGGTGGGGGGGAAGGCTCATTGATGGAGGTGGAGGGAAGGCTCATTGATGGAGGTGGAGGGGCCCTCATTGATGGAGATGGGGAAGTAAGGTTCATTGATGGAGGTGGGGAGGGAAGGCTCATTGATGGAGGTGGGGGGGGCCCTCATTGATGGAGGTGGAAAGGGAAGGCTGATGGAGGTAGGGAGGAAAGGCTCAGTGATGGAGGTGGGAGGGATGGCTCATTAATGGAGGAGGGGAGGGAAGATTCATTGATGGAGGTGGGATGGAAGGTTCATTGATGGAGGTGGTATGGAAGTTCATTGATGGAGGTGGGAGGGAAGGCTCAGTGATGCAGGTGTGGAGGAGGAAAGGCTCATTGATGGAGGTGGGGGGGGAGGATCATTGATGGAGGTGGGGGGGGAGGCACATTGATGGAGGTGGGGGGAAGGCTCATTGATGGAGTTGGGGGGGGGAGGCTCATGGATGGAGGTGGGGAGGGAAGGCTCATTGATGGAGCTGGGGAGGGAAGGCTCATTGATGGAGGTGGGAGGGAAGGCTCATTGATGGAGGTGGGGGGAAGGCTCATTAAAGGAGGTGGGGGGGAAGGCTCATTGATGGAGGTGGGGGGAAGGCTCATTAATGGAGGTGGGGGGGAGGAGGCTAATGGATGAAGATAGGGAGGGAAGGCTCATTAATGGAGATGGGGGGGGAGGCTCATTGATGGAGGTGGGGAGGGAAGGCTCATTGATGGAGGAGGGATGGAAGGTTCATTGATGGAGGTGGTGGGGGGAGGAGGATCATTGATGGAGGAGGGGAGAGAAGGCTCATTGATGGAGGAGGGGAGGGAAGGCTCATTGATGGAGGAGGGGAGGGAAGGCTCATTGATGAAGGTGGAGAGCAGGGTGAATCCAATGGTTTAAAGATACCGTATATATACAAAATAATAAAAAACTGGTAAGAATGCCATTTATAAATGGTGATTCTGGGTAAAATGCCTAAAACTAAAAAAGTGTAAAATCAGAATGTTTATTGAATTACAGTCAGGCCCATAAATATTGGGACATGGACACAATTCTAACATTTTTGGCTCTATACACCACAATGGATTTGAAATGAAACGAACAAGATGTGCTTTAACTGCAGACTGTCAGCTTTAATTTTAGGGTATTTACATCCAAATCAGGTGAACGGTG